ACTAAATTATCATAAACTTTAATTCATAACAAAGTAATCATTTTCATGGAGACTGTAATAATATTCATTAATGCAATATTATATTTATAGCAAAACATTAATGCTGTCACTTGCTCGCAAAAGCTACAATAAATAGAATTATCAATAAAAACAAAACTGCATTTAGTAATGGAAAAATAGCAGTGCTATCTGGTAGAATCAATAATGGCAAGTTTCCTACTCGCTTATTTGTTGAAATCCATGCTTCACTTAAGCTGCCATACACCAGGAAAACGAGAACATCAACTTCCATTGCAACCGAGTCTGGAATGAGAGAAGGAAGATAAAATTACCTAATTACTAGAACAAGTAAGTTTCTAAAGAATAAAAAGATATGCACAAATATTTAAAAAATATTTGAAGTTAAATGCATAATTGATAAACAGTGCATGGTAAAAATTTAAAAGCAGCACAAGTGGTACAACTTTTTAATTCCATTTAAGTTTCGGTATTTATAATTTAAAGACAGACATTACTGTATAGCCGGTAATTCTCATGGGTTGCAAAGTTCATGGATTTCACGTATTCCTTATTGATTCACGAAAATTAATTTAATATGGTACCTGCATGGTACACGTGGTAGAATTCACGAAATTAAAATCCGCGAATTGGATTGTTAGTAGATTTTGCGAAATACAGGACCCAAAAATTTCCAGCCATACGGTATTATATGTACATGTATTAGAAAAGGCTTACTGATACTGCATTGTGTCCATTCAACAGGTACAATGGATAACAAACAGTAGTCCCCCAACTCAACAGTCAACAATCAAATGATTAACACATGTTAGGCTGAGGTTGTCCTTGCCTGTAGCCAATCTATGATAAAACAGTCAAAAAATTATAGCTACATGTACATGACATCAACTAACATTAACACAAGCATCCGTGACAACAAGACGCACCTAAAAGTGTTCAAATTAAGTTGTCAGTACTTGTACTTTACCGAAAATATCAATAAATGACTTTAAAATACACAAATCCTGATATACAAGGGAGTGGTGACCCTGTCCCGTCCAACAAAGATCAGGAACTGGTTCGTCACTACAAGACGCACCTAAAAGTGTTCAAATTAAGTTGGTAATACTTGTACTTTACGGTATATATCCATTAATCCCATTAAAATACACAAATCCTGATATACAAGGGAGTGGTGACCCTGTCCCGTCCAACAAAGATCAGAAACTGGTCCGTCACTACAAGACGCACCTAAAAGTGTTCAAATTAAGTTGGTAGTACTAGTACTTTATTGTAAATATCAATAAATGACTTTACCGTTTTAGGTTATAGACATTGATCCATTCAGTTACTCCGGGCTCACAAGGATGAATTACAATAGCATCATATATCTACATGTACACACAGTATGTTATACAGTTGTATCAATTAAAGATGAAAAATTACTTAATGAGTACATGTACATTGTACATCATGTAAATGCAAATTTCTGGAATTCAAGAAACAAAAGTAGTAAAATTACATACCGTACATTTGAAATGAAGAACTACACATCCTGTATGCACATGTACATGTACATAGGTATCAAGCAGGCTTAAATAATTATTTGAGTGTGGTCAAATGCTTAAATAGTACTACAATAGAGTACTCGTACTCATACTCAATACAATTTG